TATATATATATGAGATAAAAATTAACTTGTTTGGTTGATATTTGTTATTGTCTTCGTAAATTAATTAGACTAACATTCTTGCTTGGTACATTCCATATCACTTCGAGATATCGAATCTAACTTGTTTGGTTGATATTAGTTATTGTCTTCGTAAATTAAGTAGACTAAGAGTGTGTTTGAATGTGTTTTTGTTTTTTTGTTTTTAAAAACTATTTTGAGGATAAATTTTGAAAACTGATTTTGAGAGTAAAAAAACAATAAAACTTGTTTGAATATAGTTAGTTTTAAAATTATAAAGAAGTTGTATTTATTTACAAAAATGCCATTTATTTACAAGATTGCCACCGCAAAATAATTTAAAATAAAAATAAAAATTCATTTAATTACGAAAATGCCATTAATGAAACTCCATAATTACAGAAATGCCACCGCACAAATCAGAAAACAAGAAACAGCTTTGGAAAACATCCTGTACCTGTTTTGCTTTTTCCGTTTTCAAAACAAGAAAACAGTCATTGTTTTATTGTCATATATGAAAAACTTCTTATTACTGTAAAACTTTTTGGAATCTTCTTGCCTAAGTTAAGACTTTCCGCATTTATATTTGGAATGTCATATATTTTTTTTCAACTATTTGTAATAAAAAATAAATAGGATCATTGTATAAAAAAAATAAAATGATTAGATTATTTGATACTGATGTCAAATTAAATTTTTTGGCACTTCGTCATAACTATTGATTTTCGCCGTTCTAACGGCTGTAATTTATTAAGTTATATTCATTAATTAATTATTAATTCTAAAGCAGAAATTAATAATTTATATGGGGTGTCAAATTAAAAAGTTTAACAAATATTGTAAATGAGGCATAATTGATGATATAAATTAAAGGAGATAGATTATTCTACCTATCTTTTTTTTTATGTCTACTAATCTCCAATACCATTATATTAGAATCTCAAAAGAAGGGAGAAATGATAAAGGTTAGTTGAAATTCTGATCTAACGGTGTTGGAGATCGATAAACAAAATAAGCAAGGTAGACATAAAAAAAATTTGGTAAAATAACCTATCCTAAATTAAATTAATTAAAGATATAAAATGGATGACTAGTCATTAGTCAATTTGTTGAACTGAATTGGTGGATGTTTATAAAACGGCATATTGTCGTCCAGTTTTACACACGATACAACAGCGACACAGGTACACATACCCAAATGGTGAACAATTTACGATTTTTTTAATATTAATTACTCAACAACCAATTTTTTTTTTTTGGTGAGGGTACTCAACAACTATTAATTTGGCTGTTTCAACTGAAATGCATGTCTATTTTTATAATATTTTTAAGGGTTTTATTAGCCTCCTTTTACATAAGATAGTTATCTTACGTTGTAGAGAGAAAATAGGTGGATCTTGCCATTACAAGAAAAAAGAAAAAAAGAAAAGAAAAAGGTGGGATACGAAAATCGAAGTGAAAGAACATGAGAGAAGATATCTTATATGAAAGGAGAATAATATTTTCTTATATATGCTGTCATACAAAATGACTAAGTATGCAATGCACTACCGCTATTTCGTTTTCAATTATACCCAATACTCAGTCGCGGAGTCATGAGAAAAAGTTAGGTAGTGTAAAAAGATTCAGCTAGTAAAATTAGTTGGTGTTAAAGTTTTATTATTTTTAAAAATCTAACTAATATTAAGGCTGTATCAAAAAAAATTTAAAAAAATCTATACCATTTAAAAAAATTAGATGGTGCCTTGTGGCTCCGCCACTGCCAATACTATAGCATTGAAATTTATTCAACTTCTAATTAATATATATATGTGTGTGGATTAAGATCATTTTACATCAATGTAATTTACACTCTTAATCTTGTCCATTGATTTCATTTATATCTAAGGGTTCAATTTTTTTTAATAACGTGAGCCATTGGATACAAGTGGATCAATGGTCAAGATTGATTGTAAGACTTCTAACTCTTACACCGGTGTAAGAATATCCTATATATATATATATATATATATATATATATATATATATATATATATAATATATATATATAGGGTTCGCTTTTTCTGCGGTTACTGCAGATAATTATCTGCAGTAAGCCCAATACGACGTCGTTTTGGGTGGAAATCATGATGTTTTTGTAATTTTAATTTATTTCAGGGTTATTATAGTCTTTATGATTATAAATTTTTAATATTTTACTCTCAACACGACGTCATCTTGAGAGTAAATATAGATAACTTATCTGCAATAACTGCAAAAATATTTTTCTGATATATATATATATATATATATATATATATATATATATATATATATATATTGACCAAACAAATCACAGAGACTACATGAGTGAAAGCTAGGTCAAATTTTGGATTGCAAATTATGTCAACCACCCCACATTAGACATATTGAGCATAATAAACTTATAAATTATTTGAGCATAATAATTGAAATGTACTTTATTTTATATAAGGATAGATTCACTTACACATAATCGTAAATAGAAAAAAAAGGAAAGAAAGACATGTAATATGTTTTCTCGTGATTCACCCCAATGCATGTTACATTTGGCAAGTTGGTTATTATATTCCCCTTATATCAGTTGATACAATACAATTAGTTACAAGATAATATAAATGGATTTAGAAATTCCCAAACCATAATAATTATTTGAGTAAATATCTTTTTTGGTCCTCAACAAATTTCACGATGCCCGTTTTAGTCCCTAACAAATAAAAAGGCCCATCGTGGTCTCTAAGAAATTCAAAATAAACTCATTTAGTTGAAATCGTGGTCCTTCACAAATTTAAAAAAGACCTATATTAGTCCCTAAAATGATTAAAATGATTTCATTTTGAATTTCTTAAGACCACGATGAGCCTTTTTATTTGCTAGGGACTAAAGCGGGCATCGTAAAATTTGCTGAGGACCAAAAAAATGTATTTATTCTAATTATTTATAAACTCAAATCCAAACTATTAAAAATTCCTACGAGAATGGGGATTTGATCCCTCGCTCACCTGAGAGCAGAATCCCCTGTTGACTTTATCTACATTAAAAAATATGATTCGTTGTTTTTGAGCCATTCTCAACACTTTTAACTGTTTTTTTTTTAATACTCTAATTGATTCCTTACTTTGTGATTAATTCGATTCGGGACGGATTTCAGGATTAAAACTTTAAATTTCTCTCAAAGATGATATTTGGATAATTGAACACATGCCTCATCTCACGTCCCCACTTGCTCAATTTTCTGATGCCAACTGAGCTATGATCATTTCATTAATTGTTATTTTTTAATTCAAAAAATAGAGTACAAGTTGTGAATCTAATCAATATCCTCTTCAAGTTTACCATGAGAAATAAATAAAAATAAATAAAATCTTGATATAAAAATTATTTATTTAAGAATATACCATGAAAAGCGATAAGTTGATGTACATCGAACTATGAATGATACTAACAGATAAGTTGCCAAAGAAATTTGTGCTTCGAGTAGAGTTATATTTATAAATTTTTTGTTTACAAATTATATTATGTAATATTGGTAATACATATTACTTGAGCATGTATTGTCCATAGTATATAGTATAGTTTGTAAACAAAAAGTTTGTAAATATAACTCACCCCTTCATCAAAACATAAAAAATAAAAAATTCTTCCATAAGTTTTTTTATATAAAAAATATAAATTGGCTTCTAAATTTTGAATGATGTGGGTCGAATTCATCAAACTTGAAAATGAGCTTTTTCGATCTCCTAACTTATCAGGTAACTTTCAGCAGTGAGCAAACCATGACTCCACGAGAAGAAGAATGGATGAAAGAGAACATGTCCTTCAAGGAAATGTTAATGCGACATAATGGAGAATGGGAAGATGAAATTGAAGAAATGAATGAAGAGGATAAGGAGAATAAAAAAGAACACCCAATCTTAGAGGACCAGCCAGAATCACCGGAAGTGGTAAAGGAAGAAGGTGCTGAAGGCAGAACGAATTTTAAACTGTCAGATTCCTTTAAAAAGAAAGCATGGTAGCCCTGGCATAAGTCTTTTTTCGTGAAATTGATGGGGGGAAAGTCTCTCTAGCATTTATGAGGAAGAAACTGGAAAACCTGTGGGCAAGGCAAGGTAAGGTCTTCGTAACTGACCTTGAAAATGATTATTTTTTAGTACGTTTTTCAGAAGAAAAAAAAAGACATGGATTTTGCTCTCACAACAGGACCATGGATTATTTTTGAACATTAAGTTAAAAGGAAAATTCTATAAAACAGCAGTAAGACCGGTAACGCTATATGGAGCGGAATGCTGGCCATAACATAGGCAACATGAGCATAAGATGGGAGTAGCAGAGATGAGGATGTTAAGGTGGATGTGTAGTTATACAAGGATGGATAAGATAAGAAATGAAGATATTCGACGAAAGGTAGGAGTAGTATCAGTAGCCGAAAATATGAGATAACATAGATTGAGGTGGTTTGGGCACGTGATGAAAAGGCCCCTGGATGCTCCTTTCAGAACAGAAGTTTGTTACCAAGAGCTCAACACAAAAAGAGGTAGAGGTAGGCCGAAACTTACTTGGGGAAAGGTAGTAAAATAAGACTTAAAGGAGTGGGATATAGATTGGCGGACGATATGTCTTAGAACGGAATGGAGAAAAGCTATAAGTATGGTGAAGGGTTAGACCCGTTGTTATTCCTATATTCCAGATGGTCCCTTTTTAGTCCTTTTCCCCTTAATTTTCCCCACTTCTTCTTTTCCCTTTCTTTTTTACTTTTATTTATTTATATATACATATATATATATATATATATATATATATATTACTACTTCTCATTTTTTTTTACAACCGTTTTGTATCTTTCATGTGGGTTCATCTACCACCGACTCCAATTAAGTTGGGATAAAGGTGATGTTGATGTTGACCTAGCTATTAGGTCATGGGAACCAGATTTCCAACCCTTTCAGGCAACTATTAATCGCATTATGGCTTGGGTGCGATTGCCTGAATTTCCTATGGAATATGTTAATACTACTTTGATTAAGAGTATTGGGAATTGGTTGGGAAAATTCGTGAGAATTGATGCGGCGACTACTTCATTAGCTAGAGGTCGATTTGCAAGAATGTGTGTGGAATTAGACCTCACCAAAGCCCTTCAAGTGGAGTATAAGGTTGAAGGTAGGCTGAAGAGGGTGGAGTATGAGGGGCTGCACCTTATCTGTTACGGGTGTGGAAAATATGGGCATAGGTTGGAGAATTGTCCGAATAAAATATGTATGGTGACTGAGCAGGAAAATTCTGGATTGGAAAAGGACATGAATAGTCAAGAAACTAATTTGGTGGATGGCAAGGATATGGGCGAGGAGAAATCCAAATTTGGCCCTTGGATGCAGGTTTTGAGAGGTAGAAGGAATAGGGGGAATCAAGAGAATAGAGTGGAGTTAAAACAAGGGAGAGGGATGCAACCACCTATGAAGAGAGAAATTCCTTTAATAGTTTGAAGGATCAGAATATCCAGGAAGATAAAGAAGATGATGCAGGGGGTGAAACCAAAAATCAAGAATTTGTCTAAAGGTCCTTTCAATCCAAAAACAAGAAGAATCTGTCTCCTTCAGTTGAGATGGTGGAAACTAGTTCCTAATTTATTTTGGTGGGTAATCAAAAAGAGTACAACAGTATGAGCCAGGAGTTGGAAAATGGTCATTATAAAAAGGATCCAGTTACTGTAAAGAGGATTGAGGAAAAAAAAACAGCTGAGTTTATCAAAGAACATTGGGGAAGGCAGCTATTATGGGATGGAAAATCCGTGTGATGTAGATCAGCATGGTTTGGATGGTGTGATCTCTGACAATCAGATCCAAGATTCCAATGGTCAAGTAAATAAGGGATTGAATGGCCATCTTGATCCAAAACCTCCTGATCTGATGATTGAGGACAGTGAACAAATCAATGATGCAAATGATATGGAATATACCTGTGCTAATGACAGTAGCAGCTTGAGGGATAATGAAAAGCAGGGATTATCAGGCCTTGTAAAATACTCTCAAAGTTTTTAATGAATTTTCTCATTTGGAATTCAAGAGGGGCTGCTAAAAGAGAATTTGGTAATGCCCTTAAGACTCTAATTCAGAAGAATATGGTGGATGTTGTTGTCTTGCTTGAACCTAGAACTCAAAGTGGGATCTGTAGGAAGCTTATGAAGAAAGTGGGGCTTGATAGTTTGGTAGTAGAAGAAGCTCAGGGTTTTGCTGGTGGAATTTGGATCATGTGGAATAGTAATAAGTTGAGTATAACTGCTCTTGCACAATCTTTTCAATTTATTCACTGTAGAGTTAATATTCCTAATGGAAAATCTTTTGAGTTCACGGCAATATATGCTAATCCATCTTAAAACATTAGAAATAATCTTTGGGATGATCTTCTCTCTCTTAGTGGTTCTATATCTGGTCCTTGGATCCTTGGAGGGGATTTTAATGAAATTGCCTATACTCATGAGAAGAAAGGAGGTGATGTAGCTGACCCAGTTAGGTGTGCTAAATTTGCTTCTGTGCTTGAAAAATGTCAGTTGATGATATGGGCTGTGATGGTCCCTTCTTTACCTTGCAAGGTCCTAAATGGACTAATATGAGAAGAGTGTACAAGCGGCTTGATAGAATAGTAGCTAATGTGGATTGGAGAATGTCATTTGATGAAGATAGAGTCTCCTCTCTGCCTAGACTTCTATCGAATCATAATCCAATTATCATAAAGCTGTTTGAAGATTTTAGTGATAATAATAAGAAGCCTTTTAGGTTCTTTGCTGCGTGGCAGGTGCACCAAAATTTTAATGAGTTTCTTAACTCAAATTGGGATCTGAATTTTGACCTCCCATATATGCTTCAAAGACTGATTCCTGAGATTAGTGTTTGGAACAAAAGGGTTTTTGGCAACATTGAGAGGAGGAAAAATATACTGATCAAGAAGATTGCCTATATTCAATGTAGAAGGGAAAATAATGATTCTACTTATTTGCATAATATGGAGAACCATTGTCAAGAGCAGCTAGGGAAGGTCCTTCTTGAAGAGGAATTATTTTGGTTTCAAAAATCAAGGCAGAAGTGGATTACTGACGGTGACAGAAATACTAAATTCTATCACCTTAGCACAGTGGTGAGGAGAAATACAAACAAATTTTTTAGATTAAAGAGTGAGGGAGATGCATGGGTAACAAATGCTGCTGATCTTAAAGATATGGCTGTTAACTATTTAAAGGGTCTGTTTACTGATGAAATTCTGGAGAGGAGATGGATCATATCTGCTACTTTATGGCCTAATCTTTCAGTGGTGGATAAGGATTACCTGGACAGGTGCCCAAATAAGCTTGAAATTAAGCAAGCTTTGTTTAATATTGGTGCTTTTAAAGCTCTAGGTTTAGATGGATACCCAACAATGTTCTTTCAGAGGAATTGGAATCTGATTAAAACTCAAATCTGCTATCTGGTCTAGCTGATATGTTCTATCGGATCATAATCCAATTATCATAAAGCTGTTTGAAGATTTTAGTGATAATAATAAGAAGCCTTTTAGGTTCTTTGCTGCGTGGCAGGTGCACCAAAATTTTAATGAGTTTCTTAACTCAAATTGGGATCTGAATTTTGACCTCCCATATATGCTTCAAAGACTGATTCCTGAGATTAGTGTTTGGAACAAAAGGGTTTTTGGCAACATTGAGAGGAGGAAAAATATACTGATCAAGAAGATTGCCTATATTCAATGTAGAAGGGAAAATAATGATTCTACATATTTGCATAATATGGAGAACCATTGTCAAGAGCAGCTAGGGAAGGTCCTTCTTGAAGAGGAATTATTTTGGTTTCAAAAATCAAGGCAGAAGTGGATTACTGACGGTGACAGAAATACTAAATTCTATCACCTTAGCACAGTGGTGAGGAGAAATACAAACAAAATTTTTAGATTAAAGAGTGAGGGAGATGCATGGGTAACAAATGCTGCTGATCTTAAAGATATGGCTGTTAACTATTTAAAGGGTCTGTTTACTGATGAAATTCTGGAGAGGAGATGGATCATATCTGCTACTTTATGGCCTAATCTTTCAGTGGTGGATAAGGATTACCTGGACAGGTGCCCAAATGAGCTTGAAATTAAGCAAGCTTTGTTTAATATTGGTGCTTTTAAAGCTCTAGGTTTAGATGGATACCCAACAATGTTCTTTCAGAGGAATTGGAATCTGATTAAAACTCAAATCTGCTATCTGGTCTAGCAGATATGTTCTATCGGATCATAATCCAATTATCATAAAGCTGTTTGAAGATTTTAGTGATAATAATAAGAAGCCTTTTAGGTTCTTTGCTGCGTGGCAGGTGCACCAAAATTTTAATGAGTTTCTTAACTCAAATTGGGATCTGAATTTTGACCTCCCATATATGCTTCAAAGACTGATTCCTGAGATTAGTGTTTGGAACAAAAGGGTTTTTGGCAACATTGAGAGGAGGAAAAATATACTGATCAAGAAGATTGCCTATATTCAATGTAGAAGGGAAAATAATGATTCTACATATTTGCATAATATGGAGAACCATTGTCAAGAGCAGCTAGGGAAGGTCCTTCTTGAAGAGGAATTATTTTGGTTTCAAAAATCAAGGCAGAAGTGGATTACTGACGGTGACAGAAATACTAAATTCTATCACCTTAGCACAGTGGTGAGGAGAAATACAAACAAAATTTTTAGATTAAAGAGTGAGGGAGATGCATGGGTAACAAATGCTGCTGATCTTAAAGATATGGCTGTTAACTATTTAAAGGGTCTGTTTACTGATGAAATTCTGGAGAGGAGATGGATCATATCTGCTACTTTATGGCCTAATCTTTCAGTGGTGGATAAGGATTACCTGGACAGGTGCCCAAATGAGCTTGAAATTAAGCAAGCTTTGTTTAATATTGGTGCTTTTAAAGCTCTAGGTTTAGATGGATACCCAACAATGTTCTTTCAGAGGAATTGGAATCTGATTAAAACTCAAATCTGCTATCTGGTCTAGCAGATATGTTCTATCGGATCATAATCCAATTATCATAAAGCTGTTTGAAGATTTTAGTGATAATAATAAGAAGCCTTTTAGGTTCTTTGCTGCGTGGCAGGTGCACCAAAATTTTAATGAGTTTCTTAACTCAAATTGGGATCTGAATTTTGACCTCCCATATATGCTTCAAAGACTGATTCCTGAGATTAGTGTTTGGAACAAAAGGGTTTTTGGCAACATTGAGAGGAGGAAAAATATACTGATCAAGAAGATTGCCTATATTCAATGTAGAAGGGAAAATAATGATTCTACATATTTGCATAATATGGAGAACCATTGTCAAGAGCAGCTAGGGAAGGTCCTTCTTGAAGAGGAATTATTTTGGTTTCAAAAATCAAGGCAGAAGTGGATTACTGACGGTGACAGAAATACTAAATTCTATCACCTTAGCACAGTGGTGAGGAGAAATACAAACAAAATTTTTAGATTAAAGAGTGAGGGAGATGCATGGGTAACAAATGCTGCTGATCTTAAAGATATGGCTGTTAACTATTTAAAGGGTCTGTTTACTGATGAAATTCTGGAGAGGAGATGGATCATATCTGCTACTTTATGGCCTAATCTTTCAGTGGTGGATAAGGATTACCTGGACAGGTGCCCAAATGAGCTTGAAATTAAGCAAGCTTTGTTTAATATTGGTGCTTTTAAAGCTCTAGGTTTAGATGGATACCCAACAATGTTCTTTCAGAGGAATTGGAATCTGATTAAAACTCAAATCTGCTATCTGGTCTAGCAGATATGTTCTATCGGATCATAATCCAATTATCATAAAGCTGTTTGAAGATTTTAGTGATAATAATAAGAAGCCTTTTAGGTTCTTTGCTGCGTGGCAGGTGCACCAAAATTTTAATGAGTTTCTTAACTCAAATTGGGATCTGAATTTTGACCTCCCATATATGCTTCAAAGACTGATTCCTGAGATTAGTGTTTGGAACAAAAGGGTTTTTGGCAACATTGAGAGGAGGAAAAATATACTGATCAAGAAGATTGCCTATATTCAATGTAGAAGGGAAAATAATGATTCTACATATTTGCATAATATGGAGAACCATTGTCAAGAGCAGCTAGGGAAGGTCCTTCTTGAAGAGGAATTATTTTGGTTTCAAAAATCAAGGCAGAAGTGGATTACTGACGGTGACAGAAATACTAAATTCTATCACCTTAGCACAGTGGTGAGGAGAAATACAAACAAAATTTTTAGATTAAAGAGTGAGGGAGATGCATGGGTAACAAATGCTGCTGATCTTAAAGATATGGCTGTTAACTATTTAAAGGGTCTGTTTACTGATGAAATTCTGGAGAGGAGATGGATCATATCTGCTACTTTATGGCCTAATCTTTCAGTGGTGGATAAGGATTACCTGGACAGGTGCCCAAATGAGCTTGAAATTAAGCAAGCTTTGTTTAATATTGGTGCTTTTAAA